GTGTCTGGGGATGGAGCGGAAATCCTCCAGAGACATCTCCATGAAGCTCTCCTGGAGGTACTCCAAAAGCCGTTGCAGTATTCTGTCCTCCATGGTAGGACACTTTACCACACCATGCTAGTAGCAAGTAATCTGGTATCATTGCATGACAAAGCCTGGCAGCACATGCTCCCAGTGTTTGCTGGCATTCAAGCAATATCTGTTCTTTATCTTGCTGTGTTATCCTCAGGAGAGTGATATCGTTCATGGTAACCTGGTTGAAATACGGGAATTTAATTAAGGGGACATTCTGAGGTGGGAGTTCCTACTGGGCTTTTTGCCTGTGGCTGAAAAGAAATCCTCCCCGCAGTTAGCCAAGCGGTGGGGGGAGGGGCATTGGCGCTGAGCTGTTCGCGTTTGTCTAGCAAGGATCTTCCCTGATACCAGCCACGCGGTGGGGGAGGGGGTAAAGCGATCATCCCAGAGAATTGGATGGGGGGGGGGTTAGTTTGGTTTCTGCTGCTGCACATTAACACAAAAACCGCAACACTCAACGGGCTTTGCTTGGTATGGGAAAGGAGGGCGCTGCTTTTATGAAGGCTGCAGAAGCCGAAAGACAATTGCTTACCATGGCCGCATGCAAGCCGAATTCTGTTGCCTGGCCCTGCGTCTGTGCTCTCTAAACACCAAAGCCGCAGGCACTCAATATTAAGATGCAAAATGCGACCTTGTACCGAAATCACATGTGCTATGTAATGCGAATAGTGTTGTTCACCGTGAAAGAGTATACCCATTGTTCTGTAAAATGTATCTTTTAAAATACTTCTCTCCCTTTTTTCCCTCCCGCAGCTGCAAATTTTTCAGATAAGGCGGCAAAAAAAAAAACACACGCGAGATGAAATGTTCTCTGAGATCATGCAGCCGACCCACAATGAAAGAGCTCATCTGAATGAGTGGAAGGACATAGTATCACAATACAGGAAAGTGGCCAACGAACGTGAGGACAGGAGGGACGAACGTGAGGACAGGAGGGACGAACGTGAGGACAGGAGGGACGAACGTGAGGACAGGAGGGACGAACGTGAGGACAGGAGGGACACTCGAGATGAGAGATGGCGGCAGGAAGATCAGAGGAGGCAGGATACAACGCTGGGGCTACTGAGGGATCAAACGGACATCCTCCGGCGTCTGGTGGAGCTTCAGGAACGGCAGCAGGATCACAGAGTGCCGCTGCAGCCCCTGTTTAACCGCCCTCCCCCTCCCCAAATTCCATAGCCTCCTCACTCAGACGCCCAAGAACGCGGGGGAGGAGGCTCCGTGCACCCTGCCACTCCACCCTAGTGGACAGCCCAAGCAACAGAAGGCTGTCATTCAACAAGTTTTGAAGTGGCCTTTTCCTTCCCTCCTCCCACACCTCACCTGGGCTAGCTTGTCAGTTCTCTCCCTATTTTTATAATCAATTAATAAAGAATACATGGTTTTTAAACGATAGTGACTTTATTTCCTTTGCAAGCAAGCTGTGATCGAAGGGGGAGGGTGGGTGGCTTACAGGGAATGAGTCAATCAAGGGGGCGGATTTTCATCAAGGAGAAACAAACAGAACTGTCACATCGTAGCCTGGCCATTCATGAAACTGGGTTTCAAAGCTTCTCTCATGTGCAGTGCTTCCTGGTGTGCTCTTCTAATCGCCCTGGTGTCTGGCTGCATATAATCAGCGGCCAGGCGATTTGCCTCAACCTCCCACCCCGCCATAAACATCTCCCCCTTACTCTCACAGAGATTATGGAGCACACAGCAAGCAGCAATAACAATCGGAATATTGGTTTGGCTGAGGTCTGAGTGAGTCAGTAAAGTGCGCCAGCGACCCTTTAAATGTCCAACTGCACATTCTGCCACCATTCTGCACTTGCTAAGCCTATAGTTGAACAGCTCCTGACTACTGTCCAGGCTGCCTGTGTATGGCTTCGTGAGCCATAGCATTAAGGGGTAGGCTGGGTCCCCAAGAATAACTATAGGCATCTCAACATCCCCAACAGTTATTTTCTGGTCTGGGAAGTAAATCCCTTGCTGCAGCCATTTAAACAGATTAGTGTTCTTGAAGATGCGAGCGTCATGAACCCTTCCCGGCCAGCCCACGTTGATGTTGGTGAAACGTCCCTTGTGATCCACCAGTGCTTGCAGCACCATTGAAAAGTATCCCTTGCGGTTTATGTACTGCCTGCCCTGGTGCTCCGGTGCCAAGATAGGGATATGGGTTCCATCTATCACCCCACCACAGTTAGGGAATCCCATTGCAGCAAAGCCATCTACTATGACCTGCACATTTCCCAGAGTCACTACCTTTGGTAGCAGCAGCTCAGTGATTGCTTTGGCTACTTGCATCACAGCAGCCCCCACAGTAGATTTGCCCACTCCAAATTGATTCCCGACTGACCGGTAGCTGTCTGGTGTTGCAAGCTTCCACAGGGCTATCACCACTCGCTTTTCAACTGTGAGGGCTGCTCTCATCCTGTGTTCTGGCGCTTCAGGGCAGGGGAAAGCAAGTCATAAAGTTCCATGAAAGTGCCCTTATGCATGCGAAAGTTTCGCAGCCACTGGGAATTGTCCCAGACCTGCAACACTATGCGGTCCCACCAGTCTGTGCTTGTTTCCCAGGTCCAGAATCAGCATTCCACGGCATGAACCTGCCCCATTAACACCATGATCTCCAAAGCGCCGGCGCCCACGCTTTGACAGAATTCTGTGTCCATGTCCTCATCACTCTCGTCACCGCACTGCCGTCGCCGCCTCCTCCTCGCCTGGTTTTGCAGGTTCTGGTTCAGCATAAACTGCATGATAATGCGCGAGGTGTTTACAATGTTCATGACTGCTGCATTGAGTTGAGCGGGCTCCATGCTTGCCGTAGTATGGCGTCTGCACAGGTAATCCAGGAAAAAAAGCGTGAAACGGTTGTCTGCCGTTGCTTTCATGGAGGGAGGGAAGGGAGGGAGGGAGAGGGGGGCCTGACGACATGTACCCAGAACCACTCTCAACAATGTTTTTTGCCCCATCAGGCATTGGGATCTCAACCCAGAATTCCAATGTGCGGGGGAGACTGCGGGAACTATGGGATAGCTACCCACAGTGCAACACTCCGGAAATTGACGCTAGCCTTGGTACTATGGACATACACTGCCGAATTAATGTGCTTAGTGTGGCCACATGCGCTCGACTTTATACAATCTGTTGCCAAAAATCGAATTCTGTAAAATCAGAGTAATCCCGTAGTGTAGACATACCCCTTACAACAATTTCTTACCATACATGGACTTACAGCCAATTTAGGTATTAGCTATTTTATCCTTCTCTTCCACGGTGCCATATCATTGTAGGGACTTCACTTAGCACTCTTTACTTTATAAACCAAAGACATCATTTAAAACATTTAGATAGCAGTCTCTATTTAAAAAGTTTAACTTTTTTGTTTACTTTCTGATAACCAAAACCACAGAAGGGGGGGGGGGAGAGGGAGTGCAAGTATGATAAATTTCTGCTTACAGGTAATATTTTAGGGCACACAAACATTGGGCTTATAAAAACTATTGATACAATGCCTTAATTATGGCATTGTGAAGTTCTACTGTAGATAGGCAAAAAAGCAAAGGGATACATTATTCTAATGCAAAACTGAGATGAATGCTAAAAGAAAAGTACTGTTTCCTTCATCCCCCACATTATGTGGAAAACAGTGGTGTCAGTGAGTATCTCAAAGGTGGGGAAAGTTTGGCAACTAAGTTTTCCAAATTTGTTTCAAGTATAATTATGCTGTGTAACAGTTTGAAGCAGTGACCATCCCAGATTACATATTACAGTTTCTATTTTACCTAAAATGATACAGATTCCATTTTGCATAATTTTCATACATAAACAAAACAGACTCTTAAAGAGAAAAAAGCTTACCTGTTCCCAGCTAAAAGACAGACCTAGTGCATCAAGCTGCTCCCTCATGTGTTTAATATTACTGCAAAAAAGAAAAATATGAAACAATTAAGAGTATTAAAGAATATTCCTAACTATTGTTGATTATGTAAGACATTTCTTATCAGATGCCTGTAAAGCTTTTTGACCCTCAAAGGCACTACAGAACTGCTAAATATCATTATCCTACATATGCAGTCCAACTGAAGTAGTTGTCTAATAGGCAAATCCTTCTTATGTGATCACTTTAAAGGCTTCCTGTGCATTTTGGTTCAACCTTCAATGACCATCTATACTACACACTGATTTTTGCCATTACCTTGAATGTAACTGAAGAGAAGAAGACAACTTTTAGTTTTGGAGAACATGCTTTCCTATTATTATTTTGTATATGTATTGCAGTAGAACTAGAGACTCCAGCTTCATAGTGCTACAGACTGTACACATACCTTACAATAAGATAGTCCCTACCCCAAATTTCTTAATCAAAATATAAGACAAGACCTATTAGGAGAATACAAGAAACAGACAGAGGGAGCACCAGGTAACAATGAGACGACACTGATAAGTGTAATGTGTTGTGACATCTTCTTAACAATTGCCTTACCACTGCTGAGTGATTTGTAGGCATCATGACAGTCACATTTTAAGGAGAGATTTGAAGGTGGATAACGCAGTGGCATTGTGGATATTTACAGGCAGCTCCTCCCATTTACTAGGAGTAGCATGCAAGAAACTGCAAAGGAATTTCTTCAAAAATTTAACTAATATTGGCATTATTTGCTCTCAAGTCTCTTCACTGAAGAGAATTACCACAATATCTTCCCTTTGATGGTGGTCAGTACACTCCTCCCAATGCATGGAGGCCTGCACACCAGCTCTCCACCAATCCTGGCAGAGGGAAGTGATGGAGGATTCCCAAATATGCACCTCCTACATGGCATAACAATGTGGAACATAATAGGATGGTCATAAATGTTTACATTTCTATGGAAATTAAAGGTAAGAATTAACATTCTGGAAATGTTTAACTTTTTATTTTGGTTATGAAATACTCCGTTTTAGTTAGAGAGAAAGGATGGTCCAGTGGCTAGGGTACACACCTGGGACTTGGGAGACATCTGCTGCATCCATACCAGGGCATTTGCTGGTATAAAAATGTCATTAAAAAAATTACACCACAACCAACCTATATACAAAAGTTTCCAGTGTAGATCTGGCCTTAGTTTGTTGTGTTTTTTAAAAGAGGAAAAGAGACACACAGTAGACAACTTAACTGAGGTTCATTTTTAATTATTTACATTTAGTAGTTTTATGATGTAGTACAAATAAAAACAATAGGAAATGCAAATGTGATTTTAGTTTCAGTGTATTACTGTAAGCAATTTCAACAATTGTTAATTTGTTTTAAAACAGTTTTGTTAGAATAGTCTTAGAGTGTTTAAATATTAAACAAGTTAATAGCACACATTTTTCAGTATTAAAGAGATTTACAGGATTGACTACTTTGTTAACAGAAACTATTAACACATCAAGGGGAAGGGAAAATAAACGAGGAAATGCTAAAGATAAGGCTTCCATAACAATAGTAGGGCTCTCACGTTAAACTAATAAATGCAAATATGTGCAGTTATTTTAAATGTATAGACAGATAGTATACACAGTGTGGGCAAATTAATGCTATTATGAGAGGCTTAACTGTTATTTTTTTTTTTTTTTTTTTTGAGATTTATGGACTCAACTACATAAATATAAAATGCTTCATTAGCAGTTTACTCTTAAAGGAAAAGAGAAACAAAAACTGCCCAGGCTGAGTTATCAGGGAAAAGTGACATCTAAAAATAAGAGCGCAGCAAAAATAGAAGAGGCCCAGGTTCAATTCTCTGATCCACCATAGACTTCCTATGTGATGTTGGACAAATTACTTAGCCTCTTTGTGCCTCAGTCCCCCATCTGTAAAATGGGGATAATAATAACTTCCCTACCTCAACAGGGGTGTTGCACGTTAAAGATTGTGGGCACTCAGATACTACCATGATGGATGCCATATAAGTACCGTAGACAGACTTGTTTTGTATTCAGGCTACAGTAGGTTTAGTGGAGGGGGTGGGAAGAAGATGGTTATCACCAATTTATTGCCCAGCTTCCTCAGAGATAACATAATAAGTAATCTATGGTAATAATATATATGCATTTGCCCAGAGGGGACACACTGGGCAGATGTAATAAAGCCAAGTGTATGTGCAATGGTTCTATGAGTTCAGCAATCTATAACTTCCTCTGAACTATCTTTATGTAGTACATAATTGACTGTCTGCCATGCATTATGTATAAGGCCTTCTTTTGTTCCATCTCTGGAGAGTAAAAAGAACAAAAGCCAGTTCCTAGTGTTTTGCTAGATGGTAATTTGTTTTCTTCTATATTCTCCTCTAGACAATGTAGAAAGAAAATGCAAGCAATAAATATAATGCAAATAGCATAAATTACCAATGCATAGTATTAGTTATTTCTAGCAAAATCAATTAGACTTCACTCCTCTAATATTTTAGTGGGTAAGGAATCAAACAATCTCAGTATCTGTCCAAGGAATGTGAAAAGGTATGGGCAGAGGACGTTTTCAGAGAAGGGAATAGGTCAAAGTAGAAAATGAAAACATGGCCAAGTCCACCACACCCTTTGGGTCAGGGGTGGGCAAACTACAGCCCACGGGCCGAATCCAGCCCATCAGGGCTTTGGATCCGGCCCACAGGACTGCCACATCCATGCCGCTGTGAGCCCCATGCTGCTCGCGGAAGCGGCCGGCACTACGTCCCTGCAGCCCCTGGGGAGGGAGCGGGGGCAGAAGGCTCCGTGTGCTGCCCTTGCCTGCAGCACCTCCCCCTGCAGCTTTCATTGGACAGGAACGGGGAACTATGGCCAATAGGAGCTATGGGGGAGGTACCCGCAGGCGAGGACAGCGCACGGAGCCCTCTGCCCTCCTCTCCCCCAGGGGCCTCAGGGACGTGGTGCCGGCCGCCTCCCAGAGCGGCGCAGGGCCAAGGCAGGCAGGGAGCCTACCCTGGCCCCAGTGCGCACTGCTGTCACCCCGAACCATTCCAGGTAAGCAGTGCTGGGCTGAAGCCTGCACCCCGAAACCCTCCTGCACCCCAACCCCCTCCCCTGAGCCACCTGTCGCACACTGAACCCCTCCTGCACCTCAACCCCCTGCCTTGAGTCCTGTCCCACACTCTGCAACCCCAACCGCCTGCCCTGAACCCCACCCGCTGCACCCCTCCTGCACCCCAACCCCCTGCCCTGAGCCCCCTGCCACACTCCGCACCCCTCCTGCACCCCAACCCCCTTGCCCTGAGCCCCTTCCTGCACACTGCATCCCCTCACACACCCCACACTCCCTCCTGCACCCCAGCCCCAGCCCTACATTCATGGCCCTGCATACAATTTCCCCACCCAGATGTGGCCCTCGGGCCAAAAGGTTTGCCCAACCCTGCTCTAGGTGGTAAACAAAATAATTGCAAATAGGAGATTTGTAGACATATCATCTACAAAAATTAATGTTTATTTAGTCAGAGAAAGTTCCACTCAGGCCTGGTCTACACTAGGCGTTTATGTCGAAGTTAGCGCCGTTACATCGAATTAACCCT